CATAAGGCAACCCTTATTTCTGTCTCTCATTATGAAAAGGGAGCTGTGGAATATAGCACCATATCCAAAGGACTCAGTGGGGATGTCACCCCCATGTGCATCATGTATTATTTTGCAAACAGACTCTAATCCAGGCTGTGTATCCTGTGAATCAGCTCCCTCTTGCTGTCAAATACTCTCAGCTACAACACCTAGAAAATACTGATCTGGGTAGATGCCTATGCACATGAGACCTTTGTAGAAGCCCAGCGCTCAGTTGGAGCAAAGAACTGGGCTCATTGGAGTAGGTATGAGGAATTTTCAAGCCAAACCCCCTCCCAGCAAAGTAGAACAACTTAAAGAAAGAAGAGTCCAGGAATCCTTCCCACATGGAAAAGTAGAAAGCAATGAGTGAACATCTACTTTTCCCAATTATATAGGACACTACTAATGAAAACCATTTTTCTCCCAGAGTATTACGGTAAGAGCCCCAAGACTTCCTGGGGAGGGGAGGAAGAAGATTGGGAAAGTAACAGATAGGCTTATCAAAGGGCATAGTAGCTGTATGTATGTATGTATGACACTGTATGTATGACACTATTATGAAGATGTTCAAGTAAGGACTTAGCCCACGTCACAAAGGCAGGAGATAGGAGAGAGAAGTTTCAAACCTATGTGTTAAACCTCAACAGCTCAAGCCTCTTAGCCACAGGGCTATTGTACTGTTAATAGATTAGTAAGCATGAATTCATCTCACCTATCCTCACCCATGGAGGCTACTTGGTTAGATATAAAAGGGGAGTGTTGAAGGAAATGTGAGGGACTATTTTTTCTTATTCTTTGCTGTTTATATAGAGAGATGCACCCATCAATATAATACTCTTAATACTATCTCTGCTTTCCCACAGATATTTCCCATGGTTGATGGAGTGATACAAGTGACTGATGTTGGGTTAAGACAAAACTTCTTTAGCAAGGGCTCCTACCTTTTCATGTTGGAGTCAGCCTGCAATCAATAGTGCATTCTTGTCTGCTCCTCCCTGTTTAAATGTACAGGATCAGGCATCCATTGGGGAAAGTTTACAATTTTTGTCTCCACTGTGACGGTGTTGCTCACGTTCACTTTTTTTTTAAAAGATTTATTTATTTATGCATCAAGAACTGGGGTACAGGCCAGAAGTGCAGGGGGTGAGAGGATTGGCCAGAGACAGAGTGGGGAACAGAACAGGCAGACTGACTGAAATACATTGCTGAGGGGAGCAGCGGGCAAGACAGGAGAGGTCTGCTGCGCCATGTGGGAATCTCCCTGGTGGGAGGCTGTGGACAGCTTCACAGCATGGCGCTCAACCCGCTGAGCCACTGGGGAGGCCCAAAGCTAATATTTTGACATCTGGAGACCTGAATAAGTTGGTTATCTCCACATTGTTTCCTAACTCAACTCTGATAGGAGGGTTTAGTTTATGGTTTTTCTTAAATCTTCCAAAAGGCGGTATGATCCTCTCCCCTAAAAAGTCAATAGATGTCAGTCTCCTACTATCTATTTTCATCATTGTTTCCTTTGTAGGTAACCTGTATTATAGCTCAGAATTTTATGGCATTCATGTTAAGGTTCAGTAAACTTGCTGCTACATTTCGAGAAGTTATCTTTCATTGATTTGATGCTACGAATGATGATAGTATTAGATTGACCACAAAGATTTCCAGCTCAGGAAAATTGTGTTTATTATATATACATTGTTAATTATATTTACAGTTAATAATTCATCCAGAATATCAGTTATACATGTTGAAACTCTGAGGTTATATCTTCTCTATATTCTTGTCAAATTGCCTCTACAGATTAATTTCTTTATCATTTCATAATTTTCTTTGATTGTTATAAAAATGCTTATATTCTTTCCTCAGCATCAATTCTGAATTTACTGATTCTATTGTGAATTTAATTTCTCTCATTTTTCATTTCTCTTGTGTGCTTATAGTAAGTGTTCCCTCTTTGGTTATTTTTCTGAGATTTTTATATTTTGATCTATTTTATGTTTTATCTATTTGATTTTTTTCATCTTATTAATTTTCATCCAAGATGTGGATGCACATACTTTACAACAAATCATTTCTACAAAGTTTATAATTAAAATATTATTTTGTTTAGCCCCAACCAACATTATTTTAATAGTGCCTATGTACAATAGCTTTATTTTTTGTACTTAATTCCAAATCTAAGGAAACAACATTTTTGTACTTATTACTTTAACATCATATTTTTCTTGTGTTTTATCTTTTTTAAAAAATATTTTATTTATTTATGCACACTAGAACTGGAGTGTAGGCCAGAGTTACAGTTACAGGGGTGAGAGGATTTACCAGAGACAGTGGGGAGCAGAACAGGCAGATCTACTTATTACACTGCTGAGGGGAACAGCAGGTGAGACAGGAGAGGTGTGCTGTGCCATGTGGGTCAGCTCCCTGGCCAGGACAGAACTCATGCCGCAGTGGCTGCTGATAGCTTCATAGCAATGAGACTTTAACCCTGGGTCACCAGAGAGGCCCTTGTATTTTATCTTTATACTTATCATGTAGTTATGAAGTTTGGGCTATATTGGAAGATAAAGTTTATACTCTTTCCTTACCATCCTGTCCTTTTCCTCCCTCACTCTTTTTACTGCCTGCAATTATATACCACTATATTTATTGTGCAAAGTCTTGTACTGAAATCTAAAGGTTTATTATAATTACTGTTATCCTAAATGTGCATAGTTTTGTTTTCCATAGGCTCCAAAAATGATGGCATTTTTGTTTTTTCTTATAGGCGCTTAGTTATTTCATAACTTTAATCTTTGTAGCTTTCAACCTGAAGTGGTTGAACTTTAACAATAGCATGCAACTGCCCATGAGTTCAAGTTCACTTTCTATTTTGTTTGGTACTCTCTTTTTGCTTCTTTTTTTATTATTTTATATATTTTTACATCATTTTTCATTTTCGTCATGGTTATAGTCCCCATACAAGTCCTACCCTCCTTGTTTTCATCCTACTCCCTCCTTCCCCCCACTCCATATTGTCTCTCTGGTTTATAGTTGCTTGTTGATTTTTAATTTTACTTTATTATAATTAGTCTTTTTCCTGGTCCCTTATATAGGTTTTCTAAATTCCTGCTATCAATGAGACCATCGGTACTTTTCTTTTTCTTCCTGGCTTATTTCACTGAGCATGATCCCTTCCAGCTCTATCCATGTTGCTGCAAATTGTATGAGTTTATCCTTTTTTTTACAGCTGAGTAATATTCCATTATGTATATGTACCACATCTTCTTGATCCAGTCATCTATTTTGGGGCATTTGGGTTGTTTCCATAGCTTAACTATTGCAAATAGTGCTGTTATAAACATAGGGGTGCAGCTGCCCTTTTGAATTAATGTGTCTGTGTCCTTTGGGTAAATACCTAGGAGTGGAATTGCTGGATCATATGGAAGCTCTATGTTTAGTAGGTCCAGAAATCTCCACACAGCTCTCCATAGTGGTTGGACCAGTTTGCACTCCCACCAACAGTGCAGGAGAGTTCCTTTTTCTCTACAACCTCGCCAACATTTGTTGTTGCTAGTTTTTTTAATATGTGCTATTCTCACTGGTGTAAGATGGTATCTCATGGTAGTTTTGATTTGCATTTCCCTGATTACATGTGATGCTGAACATTTTTTCATATGTCTGTTGGCCCTTTGCATTTTCTCTTTGGAGAAGTTTCTTTTTAGCTCTTCTGCCCATTTTTTGACCGGATTATTTACTTTGTTTTTGTTGAGTCACTTCAACTCTTTGTAGATTTTTGTGATCAGTCGTTAGTGTTGTGTTAGTGTTTATTGTTAGTGTTGTGTGAAAAAATTTTCTCCCAGTGGGTGGGGTGTTCCTTTGTTTTGGTTACTGTCTCTTTTTCTGTACAGAAGCTCTTTAATTTGATGTGGTCCCAGCTATTTATCTTTGCCTTCACTATCACTGCTTTGAGTGATGAGTCTTTAAAGACATTACGGAGGTGTATGTCATGTAGTGTTTCACCTATATTTCCTTCCATATATTTTATGGTTTTAGGTCTTATGTCTAGTTCTTTAATCCATTTTGAGTTGGTTTTTTTGCATGGTGTGAGGTAGTAGTCAAGCTTCATTCTTTTACATGTAGTGACTCAGCGTTCCCAGTACCATTTATTGAACAAACTTTCTTTGCTCCAGTGCATATTCTTTGCTCCTTTGTCAAAGATTAGTTGACCATAAATCTGTGGATTTATTTCTGGATTTTCTATTTGATTCTATTGGTCTGTGTGTCTGTTCTTGTTCCAATACCATTCAGTTTTGATTATTATGGCCTTGTAATATAGTTTGAAGTCTGGGAGTATGAGACCGCCATTCCCTTCTCTTTTTTTTTTTTTTTTTAGGGGAGCTATGGCTATTCTGGGTTTTTGGTGGCTCCATATGAATTTCATAAATATTTATTCTATTTCTTTGAAGACTGTCATTGAAATTTTTTTTGGAATATCATTGAATCTGTAAATTGCTTTTGGTAGGATGGCCATTTTGATAATGTTAATTCTTCCAATCCATGAGCAGGGGATGTCTTTCCAATTCTTTGTGTCTTCTTCTGTTTCTTTTAACAGTGTTTTATAATTTTCTTTGTATAGGTCTTTCACCTCTTTTGTTAGGTTTATTCCCAAGTATTTGATTTTTTTTTTGTTTCAATTATAAAAGGGATGGGTTTTCTTGATTTCTTCTCCTTCAGATTTAGTGTTTGTGTATAGGAAAGCTACTGATTTTTGTGTGTTGATTTTGTATCCTGCTACTCTACTAAACTGGTTGATTATTTTGAGTAGTTTTTCTGTGGAGATTTTAGGTTTCTCTACATATATTATCATATTGCCTGCAAATAGTTATAGTTTTACTTCTTCTTTCCCTATTTGGATTCCTTGTATGTCTTTCTCTTGTCTTATTGCTCTGCCTAGGACCTCCAGTATTATATTGAAAAGCAGTGGTGAGAGTGGACATCCTAAAACTATGGAATGCTTCACAAATTTGTGTGTCATCCTTGTTATCTAGGGGCCAAGCTAATCTTCTCTGTTTTGCTACAATTTTAGCATATGTGCTGTGGAAGCGAGCACACTCTCTTTTTGATTCTTGATTTACTTCCACATTTGACTTAAGAATATTTCTGCTGAGGGCCTCCCTGGTGGTGCAGCAGTTGAGTGCTGGGTTGCAAATCTGCCCAAAGCCTCCGCAGCACCAGTTCGATCCCCGGCCACCGGGTGAGGGTCCCACATGGTGTGCAGACCTCTCCTGCCGCCTGCTGCTCCCCTGCAGTGTACTTCGGTCCTTCTGCCTGTTCTGCTTCCTGCTCTGTCCCTGGTGAATTCTCTCACCCTCCCGCACTTCTGACTGTACCCAGTGTTTGTATAAATAAATAAATAAATCTAAAATAAATAAATAATTAAAAAAGATGTATGCTGTCAGATAGTCATATCTTTAAAAAAATAATATTTCTGCTGAGAAAAGTATAGGGAAAAGAAGTTTATTAACCATTTAATATTGAGAGTATCATTATTCTGCTCTCAAACAATAATTTTGTGGTACTAAGAATTATGGCCAACACACCTTTACTTCAGAATTGTAAAAACATTATTTTCATTGTTTTATGCATTCAGAGTTTAATTAGAAATATTTATTAAAAATTTAATTAGAAATATTTCAACTATTGGGCCTCTCCGGTGGCGGAGCGGTTGAGCACTGGGTTGTGAAGCTGCCCGCAGCCTCTGCAGCGCAGGTTCGATCCCTGGCTGCTCCCCGGTCACCTGAGGAGGGTCCCACATGCTGCGACAGACCTCTCCTGCTGTGTCTGCTGCTCTCCTCAGCAGTGTATTTCTTCATCAGTCTGCCTGTTCTGTCCCCGCTCTGGCTCTGGTGAATTCTCTCACCCTCCCGCGCTCTGACTGTACCCAGTGCTTGTATAAATAAATAAATAAATCTTAAAAAAAAATTTCACCTATAATTTTTCATTGTTTGCATGAAAATGGTTTTATCTGTCTTACGAAATTCACCAATGTCTTCAGTGAGAGCATTGTCAACCATTGCACTTAATATTCTTTATAGACTTTCAATTTGTATTCTTTCACTGAAAATTTTCCTTTAATTATCACTTTTAAACAATAATTTCCACTTTTCCATTTCTTTCTTTACTACTTATAAAATCCTGTTTCATTTTTTGGACCTCTTGGATATGTGTTTTAAGTTTTTTAAGCCTATTTTAATTGTCTTTTTCTTTTCATATTTACTCAGAAATTTCAAATTTGGTCTTTGAAAGCTTCTTTTGAATTTTTCATATGTGTTATATTTACAATTTCTGGGAGCTCTTTTTATCCTCTGAAAGTTCATTTTTAAGATTGGGAGTCTATTCTCAATTCTTGGAGACAAAACCTTAGCTCATCTTTCTGAGGACAATTACAGCTTTTTTTTTTTTTTTTTTTATAGCTTTGTTTTCTCCCTGCATAATTGCTGCTCTCTTCAATTTAATTTTTCAGTTTTTGATTTAGGTTTTTCTTTTGTCCTTGGTTTGTTCTTTATCTTGCCTATTATGAGTTTTTGTAAATGAATGATGACTTTGGTTTCTGTATAAGTTAACTGTTTCTACAATATTGTTTGATAGCAATGAACTAGAAAACTTCAGTGAGCTTTGAAAATAAGCATAACTTTGTCACACATTTAAGGGCTTAATATGGTTTAGACAAATTTCACCAAGATGATTTTGTTGATTTGAGCTCATAAATGCTTCTGAGAGCTAGCTACCTTCTTCAGGAGTTCTGGGTCAGATGAGGTCAAGGAGGGGAAATATTGTTCTGTAGGATGCTAGATTGGATTTGCTCTGCTCTGTGTGGCATTAATTCTCCAGAGGACAAGTTTGGGATGTTCTCACAGTGATGTCAGAGGTATAAATGAATGTCCCAGCACATAAGCTTGTTTTAAGTCCCTGCTTGTGTCAGATTGGTTAATATCTCACAGGTCAAACCATGGCAAAAACTTGAATTCAATGACACGTGGTGAACAGGAAACTACAGAGTGTTGATACAATGAAATGTGAAGGATTGAGGTCATCCTTATAAATTCCTGTAATATTTGATGATAATTTATTAAAGAATTGACCATATCCTCTGCATAAATGAGTGGTATATCCATTCTAAGCTGCCCTATATGGCCATGATGATTTGGCCTGGCCACTTGTTGAAGATTGCCTCTGTCTGCACATTTTGATCTTTCAGCTCAAGATGCTCTTAACATTTATCAGAAAAAGAAATTTTTTTTTAATCTTTTACCAAGATAGTCTAGCTTTCAGTGTTCTCTGAAGCAAGTTAGGAAGAGACTGGATGTTAAGGTGTATCAACAGAGAACTTGCATAAATTCATGTCTATGTTTTCAATAAAGTAAAGTAGCCCTCAACTCGACTGGTGTCCTCCACTAGGCAGCATCTCTAGATAACTAAGGGCACTATGACTAAAAAGCAGGAGTTAATTAGTTGCTGGAGACTGTGATATGGGGAGTGGACTTAAGGATCACACTACTTTTACACAGTTTGTAATTAGTTCAGGCTATTTTGAGCCATCTTCCCAATTTAACCCTAATTTAAATATCTGTAGCCCTACCAAATGTGAGATTTTTGAGAATTCTATGGAACAAATAAATTTTTCAGATATTTTTTCCACTATCCCATCTGAATTCCTTCCATCATTTAAATTAGTGTTGCTATTGTCTCTTCTATTTTCAGCTCTTTCATGAACATGTGCTCTTTTGAAATGGTTGCTTTCATGTAGTATTAATTGGGGTTGTGAGTGATCAGCATTAGTTCGGTGAGCTCAAGCCACTGTCTTTATCCAAAATAAACCTAGTGTTAGTTAACATCAGATTGCTTCATTTAAAGTCTGTGTTTTTAAGAATAGTTTTAGGTTTATAACAAAATACAAGAAGGTAGAGAGAGTGCATATAAACTCCCTATATCAAACATACATAGTCTCCTCCAAAATAAATATCACTCATCAGAATAGTAGTTTTTACCAAATGTAAACATAAATCATATGACACATCATATATGTCCAGACTCCATTGTTACTCTTGGTTTTGTACATTTTATGAATTTGGACAAATGTAATAGCATGTGTCTAATATTATAGTGTCATACAAATATTTTTAGTCCTCTAAAAATCATCTATGCTCTATTCATTCATTTCCTACCCTGCCCCATAAACTGCTAATGTTTTTTGCTGTTGCTATAGTTTTGCCTTGACCAGAATGTCATATAATTAGAATAAGAACTGGAATCTTTTCTGATTGATTATTTTACTTATTAATATGAGTTAAGAAATTCTTTTATGTCATTTCATGGCTTCATAGCTCATTTTGTTTTGGTACTGAAGAATATTCGGTGTTCCAAGTTATTTAGCCATTCACCTATTGAAGGACTCATGGCTACTTCTAAGTTTTGGCAATTGTGCATATACCTACCCCATCAGTGTAGCAGTTACACACATATGTATAGATTTTTACATGGACATTTAGTTCCTTTGGGTAAATATCAAGGCATCCAATTGCTGGATCATATGGTAAGAGTATGGTAGGAGTAACTTTCCAAATGGTCAAAATGACTGTACCATTTTGTATTTCCACCAACACTGAATGAGAATCCTTATTGCTGCACATTTTCAGTAGCATTTGATATTGTAAATGTTCTGATACAGATTGTTTTTCACCTTACACATTTTAATTTCTCTTTCTAAAATATTATGTTTGTTTCCAATATATTGGAAAATGCTCAATTTCTTCTATTTGTGAGGATGTGTTTTTCCACAGATTTCCAGATGTTCTTCTTTTTCCATTATTTTGCAATTTTTTTCTTTAATACCTCAATATTGATTCTTTTGAATTATTGCTTTATTTATTCATATTTTAATAAAATGGTTTTTATCTAGAACCTGTATTTTTCACTAGACATGCAGTAGTGATCCCAGTCTCCTGGTCATTAATACCCTGGGGTAAAGATGATGAGGTGGGTCTTCAGCATTGTGTGTTATTAGACATTACGTGCAGTATTGAAATATTAGAAAATTGTGTCCTGTTTTTCCCACCACACCCCATTATTCAGTGTAGCACAGGTCTCAAGAATCCCTGAAATGGGCATGTGTCCCTAAGTCATAAACTGGAAATAAACAGTAGTCATAATTTTCTGAATTAAATTTTTGAAGAGTTATCAATTTTAAGTTTTGATGGACTGAGTCATTTAAATCCTACATGATACAGTTTACATTGATACAATTAAAATATCTGGTTGAAAATACAAACTTACTGTAATCACAATTCCTTTTCTAAAATCCAATCTGTATTCAGTAACCAAGAACCCTATGAAAACCCAATATAATGTAAACTTAGGTAAATGTTTCTATAAGAGCCATACAACACTTTACTTTAATAAATAATAAAATATTCATAAAATTTTTAATTTTAGCAAATTTTGAATAGACTTCCAAAAAGGTATCAGTATTTTTTCTATTTATTTATTTTTTTTAATTTTTTTTTTTTAATAGAGGCATGCTTTATTTATTTATTTATTTGTTTGTTTGTTTTGTTTATACATGCACTGGGTACAGTCAGAAGCGCGGGAGGGTGAGAGAATTCACCAGAGCGGCAGGAGAGGTCTGCGCGCCATGTGGGACCCTCCTCCAGTGGCCGGGGAGCAGCCGGGGATCGAACCGGCGCCACAGAGGCTGCGGGCAGCTTCGCAACCCAGTGCTCAACCACTGCGCCACCGGGGAGGCCCATCAGTATTTTTTCTAAAAAAGATACTCAAAGCTGAGGCATATACAATTTGCTATTTTACAAAAAGACTAGATCCTACAGAAAGAATTCAATCATGCAGCTTATATATAGTGTTTTTTTAACAAAGGATCCCCACTCAAGAGGATAAGCAGATATTTGGCTTAAAGAATCTATGTGTTGGGCCTTCCCTGGTGGCACAATGGTTGAGCGCTGGCTTGCGAAGCTGCCCGCAGCCCTCTGCAGCGCTGGTTCGATCCCCGGCCGCCGGGTGAGGGTCCCACATGTCACGCAGACCTCTCCTGCCGCC